TAAAATTTTATTTAAAAAATCCAAATATTACAGGTTTTATACCATTTTAAATATTTTTTTATTTTAATAAAATAAATAATAAAAAATTAAAATCGAATAAAATCTGTAATATTTGGATTTCTTAAATAAAACTTTAAATTTGTCGGTAAATTATAGTAGATAATAAATTGCACCACTTTAATTTGAATTATCTTAAAAAGGGGGGCCTGGAGGCGGGTGAGGCGACAGGAAAAACTAACTTTTTTTCGCAAACTTCAATTTAAATTCTGTTTGCGCAGAACTTGTCTATTTAATGTCATTATAAACTATTATAAATTTGGTGTGGGTCCCATGTCTAATAACTGAAATATTGGTAAACCCAAAATCCACCAGCCGCCACTGGTATATAATAATAATATTATATATATATATATATATATATATATATATATATGTATAAATTTTTTATTTTTTGTTTTTTTTTGAATTATAATGTGTTGTGATTTAAATCTTCCGCCCTTAAAAACTTAACTTAAATTTAGGTGGCAACCCTGACGCGTACATTTGAGTCAACAAAGCCGACAAGCCAAGGTCCCGGTGTTGAAATATAACTGTATTTTTGGATAATACTGCAAGCTGTACAAGGGATGGAGTGGATGTTTCAGGATTGAAGTTTCCACATTGTCGAATGGCGGATGTAGCTTACTGAAACCGCGATACGTTAAAACTTGTATTTGGCTAGTAAGAGTCCATTAGCACCCAGTTCTCCACAGAGAGAACGAAAAAGTAGAAGAAGAAGAAGAAACCGACAAGTAAGAAATGTAGTGTGCCTATATAAACAATCTGCAAATACTACGAACCCAAAGAGTGGCGACGAGGATACTTTACAATAGGTACAAGAAACAATGACAACTACCAGCATTGTATTTCAAGTCGAAGTTTTCCGTAATACCAAGTTATATTGAAATATATGGGTACCAAAAGGTAACAAGTTACTCTACATTTTACATTATATGGGCGCTGAAACGTTTGATTTACTGTGTGATAAATTGGCTCAGGAAGAAATAGTAAAATTGTTAAAGGATCATTACAGTCCGGCACCATTAGAAATCGCAGAAAATGTCCGGTTTCACCAAAGAAAACAGCAAGAAGGAGAAACTATAAAGGAATTTTCTACAGCTTTGCAGAAGTTGGCCATAAATTGCAAGTTTGGTGATTACCAAAAAACAACACTAAGAAATCAACTAGTTTTGGGGATGATGTCAGAAATATATACAAAACCGGCTACTTGAAGCAAAGGACTTAACCCTTGATAAAGCTCATAAAATTGTGTTATCATGGAATTATCGGCAAAGGACACGGCACAATTACATATAAATGTTACGACTGGTGCAGTGGGGATAAATCGTCCAAAGGACAAAAAGAATTTGAATTTGAAACAAAAAATGCAGTGCAAAAGCCACACTCAAATATAACAAACAATGCATACACCAAGTGTGACAAAATAAATGTGATTTCCAAGTTTTGTAAAATAAAAGGACATTTACAGTCAGTATGTACCAAGAAAAATCAAAACACCAACCAGATAAAAGAAATTGTACAAGTGAAGATACAGAGTACAGAAAAAAGTTCAATACATCTTTAAGAGTTGGCGGTAGGGGTGTCAATTTGGAGGTGGATTGGAAGCTACAGTAACCGTAATAGGTAACGTAGGGGAGACCGGGGTAGAACGGGGTACCGGTGTTTTATTTAAATTTCCCGCTGCAGCCGATCGATAGTACTATCGTCCTTTGTTATCATTTACTAGAAGGCCAACACGTCAGTTGGTAATGACAAACGGGTTACTACAAACGTTTTAGTGTGTTTTGACTAAACGTGGTGAAATTGTGTTTAGTTTTATTAATTTTCGATATATATATTAGGGTGGTCGTTAAAAATTAAATTTTTTGCGATGCCGCCTAAAAAGCTTCGTTTTGATAAAAAAACACTGGGAATTTTTTTTTATTTAAAACAACACGTGCCTCAAGACGATCTAAGTTAATTTTTTGGTATAATCATGTTTTTTTTGGGAATTTCTTATGAAAAATAATTTTTTTTTCGAAATATAAACAATTATAGATCCAAGATCCAAGATCCCGCAGTTTTCACACAAAATAAACTTTACATCCTCATGTTTGATCTAGAGAATTCAGGAGAATCACCAACAGAAGCTACACAAGGCCTACAATATAGTCAAAATAATGGACACGATTAAACTCGTATACTGCATATCAATAGTTTCAACAACAATAAGCACATCCTATATCACACCATCCAAAAAATGGGCATCAAAGGCACCCTACTTGTGGAGACCAAAACTAAACCCTCCTACAACACCTCTTACCGGAGCTTACTGGAGCAGACTACAAATAGATGGCAATACTGTAAACCTAAATACCAGAGGGGGTAGTCTAGTACAAATGCATCCTGCATTAAAACTTAAAAAAGACAATGCTCCCATAATAAACAACCCATTAAACGAATGCGTGCACTTCTCCATTCCATTTAAGGACGATTCTTTGCATTTTCTTCTAGTCTATGTTCATCCAAGTGCCCAATTAGAGGAATCTATATTTTTAAAAGCAACTCTCTTTAAATACTGTATAATAATTGGGGACTTTAACCTAAATCTCAGAAAATTTAAACAGTTAAAAAACTTTACCACCCACTCGAGTTTTAAACAACTCCACACTCCCCCAACTTTTTTAATGGAAAACAATAACGACTCCACGCCAGATATTATACTTCATTCGCAGAACCTTACACAATATGTAGCAATAGACCTAATTGCTGACTTAGGCTCTGACTACCTGGCCATGCTTTTAAGCCTTAAAGCAGACAATTTTGTAGAACCGGCTCAAAGGGAAAATTAGTTTTTAACAAATGCAATATAGAATCCATAAACCATGAAATGATAAATTTCATCAATGATCATGCATTGCCAAGTCCCAATATCATAAATCAATTTAACACTAAACTCAAGGAATGTATTTTAAGTAACACTCCTAAAAAACAAGTGACAAGCTATGTAAATTAGTTACCGCCGTTTGTCGTCCGACTTCTCAAACTAAAACGTAGAATGTACAGGGAATATAGAGCTGATCAAGATCCCAATATAAAATCCAATATTAACAAATTATGAAAAAATATAAAACATTTAATTTCTATTTATGTCAACAACAAGTGGACTAAAGCGTGTAAAGATATAACCAATGCTAAAGGAAAAGATTTCTTCTGACAAATTAGAAAACTGTCGAGATACAAAAAACAACATAATAATAAAAATATTAATAATAATAATAATTTATTTCGTGTTATTATACAATCAGTATTTACACAAGTCAGGCAAATAAAAATATAAAAGTATACAACTAAATACATATAAGCAATAGAAAAACATATACATATAAAGAATATTTTAAAGATGATATGACATTGTGACCTACACTAAAATCTTTGTTTAATACATTAGTTTATAAATTTAAAATCTAGGTATTCTTGAATAGAGTAAAAAGCATTGGCAATTATATATATGCTCTGATATTTTTCGACAACCTACCCCCACTCAGTATATATTGCAATACGCCTCTAAAAAAGTCTGTGGAGAACCTGCAAAACATAATAAACCAAACTGAAAATTGGTTCAACAAATGGAGATTAAAACCAAATCCCAAAAAATCTAAGTTCGTTATATTTAAACACAAAATTAACATTCAGAGTCCATATTTGATATTATATAATCAACGCATTTCACCCTCAAACAACACTACATACCTGGGCCTGCAGCTGGACAACAAACTTAATTTTAATCTCCATACCAAAACGGCAAAAAAAGAAACAGTCGCAAGAGCCAAACTTTTTACCGGACTAACCAACAGATGGGAAGGAATAAATATGAAAACTGCAGCTATCATGTACAAAGCAATTTGCCGCCCTCTTCTGGAATACTGCTACCCAGTTTTATTAAACTGTCAAAAACCAGCCCTAAATAATATTGCAACTGCGGAAACAACAGCCCTAAGAACAATCCCCAAACTCCGCCACCCCCTAAACCCTCTTCACAACCCTCCCAATGGCTTTCTTTATCAAAAATTAAAAATAAAAGTTCCAATTCTTGAAAGATTAAAAAATATTTCAACTAAGTTTGCTGCTAAAGATCACAACATCGAGATACTAACCTAATTATCACCAGAGAAGTCGATAAAAATGCCTCCACAGAAAAAACTATATATTCAAATGGAGATTTTATATATTTTTAACATTATATGCTTTATTCAAGGATTCATATTTTTATTTTAAACATGTCGGCTCAAATCAAGAATGTCAATAATTTTAAAAAATGAATAATATATTTTCAAAATATATCTTTAATTCTAGTAAATAAGCTCGTTTTAAAATAGTTAAAACTGTTATTTCTAAATTACGAATTCTTATTTTGAGATTTAACCAGTTCTAGTATAATATTATAATCGTCTTAGAATGAAAGGCTATAATCTTAAAGTAAAAGGCAATATATTTATATTAAAAATATGGAATTTTTTTGTTTAAGACTTTGTGATACTAAAACTAAAATTATATATAGTTAGATTCTTTTAATTTAAGCATCCGTATTTTCAATTTTAACAATATCCGACTTTGTACATACTTATTTTAAGAATATGGTAACATTATAATGTAATAAATTATAAAGTTAGTCACCTTATTCTAAAGATATATTAAAAATATTTCTTCAATTTGAAGATACGATTGGGCTGTACTACTTGGTTTGAGCATATCACATCCCCGAGTTTTACGACGTAGTACGCGGCACCCTGTCACTTGCCGGTACCGATCTCATTTGATCTTCGCTGCTCGCGTTGACAAGTTGAGATGCAAATTTAACCCCGCGCGAGAAGAATTCTATTATTCAATCTGTATTCTTTTTCTATAAGTGTAGTTTAATTATTGTGTACCTATTCTATGGTATTAACCCAACACGCAAGATGGAAGACAAGTTAAGAAGTTGGGGTCTTTCAGATGCAATTATTACTGTATTTAAAGGTAAGTGACTATACTATGAAGTAATTTACTTATTATTATTATTATTATTAACACTTATCTGAGTAGAAACTGGCAATTATAAGTAATATTATGGCAATTTTAAGTTATAATAAGCTAGTATACCAGGTATACTATAGGTATATAGGTATACTATACCTACGTAGGTACTAGCCATAATTGCCATCTCCTCAGCAAGTGTACATTTACCGATAAATCACCTTGTATGTTATCGTTATAACGTAGGTTCCTTCTGTAAATCATAATGTTGGTACATTATGATTTAAAGAAGGAATCAACATACAGGGTGATTTATCGGTAAATGTAAACTGGCCGGTTCGAGCCGGTTTGGGCCGATTCTATATTTAGTGACTAGATAATTTTTATTAATTACCAAAATACAGGGTGTGTAACTGCTTTATCCTCTTTTGTTTCTCAGAGTTACAACATTTTTATGGAACGCCGTTTAAGTCAGTATTATTTGTTTTTCTAATTTTTTAATAAAAGTTCTTTTTATTTTTACCGCGATACCTAAATAAAAGGCTGCAAAAATATAATATATTTTGACCGGTCAAATAGCTAGCAGTCAATTGACGTTTATAGTGTCTAACAACAGTTAATTGTCAAGTTAATATTTAAACCCTGTTTATTTAAAATAAAATTTATTTAATATGGTTAAATTATTAGGCGTTGTTGCAGTGGTCAGAAGCAATTCAATGTGAAGTTAGCGGGAAACTTTTTTACTTTTCTCCTATCTTCACCGTGATAGTAATACCTTAACATAATCTTTAAAAAATTCATATCGCACTTGTTTTTTGCTTTTTTTATATTAGTTTAAAACTTATTCACTGGCTACATAGATACACTTTTATTTTAGAAAATGAAATCGATGAACAGCAACTACCTTATCTTACAACTGACTTGCTTAAAGAGTTAATTCCTCATGTAGGACCTCGTTTAATTGCACAGCAGAAAATTTTAGAATTAAAGTTAAGTCAAGACGAAAATCAAACCATTAACAAGGTAAAGTTACTTCATTAGGTTTTTCAGGTGGTGCACATGTATTTCTTAAAGTTTGCATAACCTTGTTCAGGTAATTCGGTTAATTATAACATTTTTAGGTTGAGCACAGAGTCTCTAGTATGAGTACAGTAAGCGATAATACTGAAAACTCTTTTGTTAGTCTAGAAAATGTCCCTATTGTGATTGCTAATACTGATGATTCTGCCTTATGTGGATCAGGCTTTGATTACGGGAATATACTAAGTTTAATACAGCCGAAGTTTGATGATTTTGACCTCAAAACTCTATTAGCAACCACTGCACTTGGAAAAAGTATTTTGTCCTACTATGCTGCTAATCAAAATCTTGATAACACAAGACGAAATAGACTAGTCTCTATTATAGTTAAACACTTATACAATTACATTGTCAAAAAGTAAGTGAACATTTTTTTTACATAGAAATCATATTTTTTAAATTGGACTAAAATATTTTTATCTACGCCAGTGAGATAAGAACATCTTATCCCACTTATTTTGAGTGAGATAAGAAGTTCATTAACGCACGCGTTTTTCTCTGCTTTTCAACAAATCAAATAAAAAAGTCAAAATGTCAAAATGTCAAAATGTTACCCTAAATTAAGTCTTAGACAAAAATAATTACCGTTTATTTTTTCATTTAGAGGCGTGGATAAAAATTTGTACAATATACGTCTGATAACGCTTTATTAACGTACTTCTGCGATTGCCCAACTCGTGCTACGCACTCGTTGGGCAAATTTCGCATGCGTACGTTAATAAAGCTCTTATCCCACTTATATAGTAAATAACTAAAATCAAACTGGCATAAACTGGGGCATAAACTAACTTACTGAAACGTTGCCGCAGTCCAAAAATTGAACTGTTGTTTACATCATTTAAAATTTTCAATTGGAAAATGGTAGAAAAACTGTACATTTGTTTTAGACGTCTTAGTAGGGAAGAGTACAATATGTTAGCAGCAAAAATTATATCAATTTTCCCCACAGAAACATTAGGGGTTTATTATTGCCCCCCGATTCGCAAGGGAGAACACCCACTAAAAAAATCCGTTATGGCAAAGGGCAAGTTAGTCAACCAAGTGCGAAATATACTATTTCGCTCAGGCGATACTACCTTACGCAGAACTACTGGCAGTAAAAGGGATTCAGAAGGAAGTGAAGATGCATCTTCACTTTATGAATATGATGATGGGCCGTCAAAAAAAAATAAAGGTAAAAATCCTGTGGTCTCCATTCAGTGAATTTACTCATAACGAAAAACTGCGAAATTTGGAATTTGATTGATATTTTTTTGCAATAGAATTAATATTAAATTAAAGCCTTCTTTTGAATATTAATAAAAACAAATTCTATGTAGGTACGTTTTACTGATTTTCTAGGCAATGACAATAACGAAGATATTTTATGGCTACAACATAATTTTGAGCCGTGGGAGAAAGTATTAGAAAAGTGGAAGAACACCTATCATTTTAGAATGTCTAATAGCAAAGTTACAAATGTTACTGAATATTTCGCCCTTTGGCCTGTTTTACATGATATCCGAGGAGACGTTCTTGTAAGTTGGTATTATATGGGCTTTTGGTAATAATAAAATGGAAAAGTATTATTACTTCCACCTCCCAAACGAGGGGAAGTATTGTTTCGATAAAAAAAATAATTTTTTTATTACAAAACGTAAAAAAAACAAAAAATGAGCAAAAAAATTTTGTATGTCTGTTTCCACGATAATTTTTGAATAAATAAAAATATTGATTTGAAATTTGGTAGACGTTAACAACTCGACAATATAATTGGTTATGAGCAAAATCGCTTCATAGGAAGGGGTGGAAAATAGGGGATGTTTATGTTTTTTTATTTATTTTTATTCTATTTTTTGTAAAATGTTGTGAACAAATTTAATATTAAACATAAAACGAATTTTTTGAAGTATAGGGAGCGAACGAAAAAAAATCATGTTTATATTTTGAATGGGGTTGAAAGGGGATAAAAGGATAAAAAAATAATGTTTTATGTCTTTAGGGGTTTTCGTGCTCGAGGATTTCAATTGCACCAATATTTTTTTGATAAAACTTTTTGTAAGGTCTAATTTTTTTTTTAAATACTTAATAATAATTATTATAATTATTGTAATAACAAAGTGCAAATATTTAAAAAACAAGTAACCATAAGCAATACAGAAAAACTTCATATAATTGATGAATTTCGGGAAGTGACCCACGAACCAACCCCAATTATTACGTTATTAATGCACTAAAGATCTGGCCCTATTTAAAACCAGATGAATCCTGGCATCTAGGCCTTTTATAAAAAAAATCTAGGTCTAGTTTGTTTTAAATTAAAATGAATAAAATTTTTATTTTAAACTAAATTTAAAAAAAAAAAACAAGTGCGTCGGATAAGATTATACCTATGCACTCAACCAAAAAAATATACATACAATTAATTTTCCTGCTTATAGATATAGTTTTTTTGTCTAGAAAACATATTCCTATGTAATGTTTTATTACAGATTAGCTTGGATTTTGAAAGACTTTATCCTCAGTCCCAAGTCTCGTTTTATTTAAAGTGGAATTCATTCTTTGAGCAAGTATTAAAGTCCAAAATTGGAGAAATTAGGGATGTCCAAATAAAGGAATTGCACAAACTGCTACTGGAAAAAACCGATGAAGGTATCGTTTATTATAATATTTACAATTTAAAGGGCGCTTTTAAGTATAGCGAATTTGTAATATAATACGTTAAATAACGTCTACTGAAAAACTTTGTTCTCTCCTTTGTATTATATTTTTTTCTACTTTTGTTAAAGCTTAAGTTTTCTTAGCGATAATGTTATAAAAATTTTGCGATTTTAGATGAAAAGCTACCAATACAGCTCACTTTACTGGGTCACCTACTTCCGCCCAGAGGCAGAACTAAAAACTGGAAATTTTCCATTCTAGAAAGTATTGAAGGAATAATTATTCATGTTGAGGTTAGTATATTTTAAGTTTCACTCACTTTTATTGATAAAGATAAAAAAGTACAACAGAATAATATTTTGGCTTTGTTTATACTTTTAACATCTCTAATAAAGCTTTTTTCTATTATATTTTCAGAATCCTGGTGACATTGAGATGACCATCCAGAAAACTATTGAAAAAGCTTACGATCGAAAACTCACGGTGCAGCCTTACTTATTGGTAGAAGGTAACACAATTGACAACATCCGGTCCTCATACTTGGTTTTTGATAAAATTAAATATCAGTTCAACACCGTAACAAAGGCTTTCGATTTGTTATTTAAAAGTTACCATGCTTTAAACATCCAGTACCCGCCGCAAAGTGCCCATATACTACAGTTAATTCAAAACGCGGTTTACAACATTTTCACCAAGTACGACACAGTATATCCAGAAAACCTGGATATACTGAGATTATTTAAAAATGAATAAAAAAATATAAATTCATCTAGTAAAGTAATGCTCATGTGTCTATAACTTGTTAAATTTAAATTTTAAGACATATTACAGTTCCCCTTTTGCGTCATGAAATGCACAAATTGCAGTAAACACTTTTCATGCCTTAAAAAGTATGTTATACATATAGAATATGCTCATCACTTAAGTAATTATTATAAATGTCCAATTAAAAACTGTCATCGGTTATATAATAGGCGCGATAATTTTAAGAGACATGTGGTCACTAAACATTTGGCACATGTTAAGCCTCAGCAAAAAAAATCTTCTGTTGAAAGTATACATCAAGAGACTAGTTCTTTACCTACAAATCATGGTAACAATGACTTTGCAAAGATTTCCGATAATCAGAAAGAATCAAAGCAATTTAAATTTGATCTAAAGCATAACACTAGACAGTTTTCGCATCTTCTAGAATCTACAGTAGCAAACTTATCTTCTAAATTATATAGTAATATGGGTTTTAACAGAACACTTATTCAATATGTTATTGAAACGGTTATTTCATTTTTAAAATCAGGAATATTAGATATAGTTAAAAATCTCTGTTCACATGCATTAGATAACAGCAATAGCTTTAAAGAAATATTAAATGCCATCAGTATAATGATGGACATATTAGAAAATTCGTTCGATCCTCTAAATACAGAATATAAAAGATTCAAATATTTCGAAAATTGCCAATATTTTGTTAAACCACAAGAGCAAGTAATTGGAGTTAGTGATGACCAAAAGAAACAGAATAATCAAAAAATTATGATTTTAAAAAATCACCTTTCATATTCTGTACCAATGAGAATGACACTAAAATCATTTTTTGAAATTCCAGGAGTTTTTAAAACTGTTGAAAGTTACCATAATAAATTAGAACAAATTGTTGTCAAAGATAACAATAATTGTATGACACATCTGTTACATGGCAGTTTATGGCAAAAAGTCAAAAAAGTATTCGCTAATAACCAAATTGTTTTTCCTCTAACTATATATTTCGACGATTTTGAAACTTTAAACCCTTTGGGATCTCACGCTGGCTGTTACAAAATTGGTTCTGTTTATTTTTCATTACCTTCAGTTCCTCCTGATTACGCTAGTCGCTTAGAAAATATTTTTTTATCTCTAATTTTTTATAGCGGCGACAGGCAACAGTTTGGAAATAAAAAAACGTTCGATGTGATCGTAAAGGAGTTAAAGTTTTTGGAAACGACCGGAATAAACATTACCATAGACAAAGGAGAAGTCGTAAATGTAAAATTTTGTCTGGTAGCCCTAACAGGTGACAACCTAGGAGTACACGCGCTTTTGGGTTTCAATGAGTCATTTTCTTCTACTTACTATTGTCGCTTTTGTCTTTCACCAAAAAACGCAATGAGAAGTCAAACAGTTGAAAATCGGAAAGTTCTTAGGCACAAAGAAAATTATAACGAACATGTTGCAAACAAACTTGGAATAAAAGAATCCTGCTTGTGGAATGAATTGCCAAATTTTCATGTCTATGACAATTTATGTTGTGACGTTATGCACGATTTGTTCGAAGGCGTACTTCGATACGACATGGCACTAGTCATATTTAAATTAACTGAGGCAAAATATTTTACAGTCGAAAGACTTAACGCAAGAATAAAATATTTCACCTATAGTAACGCTGAAAAAAACATTTGTCCTGGAATAAATAAAGATCATGTATCAAATGACGGATGCCTTATTATGTCAGCTGCAGAAATGCTTTGTTTAACTAGAAATTTTTGTTTAATTGTCGGAGAACTTGTACCAGATGAAAGTGATGTATGGAAGTTTTATTTGATAATACTCAAAATTACCCAAATTCTAACATCAACAGCACACATAGAAATGTTTGTTTTAGGGCAAACAAATTCATATATTTAAATGCGTATACTAAATGGAAAGATATTATATTTAAAACAAATCTATAACTATTGATATGAATTTAGTAATTTATTTTAACTGAATCTTTGATTTATTTAAAAGATATTTTATATTTTACTTTACAAGTGTATCTTAAAGCTATTATACTTTTGTTAAGACAATTGCCAATAATTATGTTGAACATATGAAAACATTCATTTTAAATAGAGCATTATTCATAAAGTAAGTAATTCAATTACTTAAAAGTTTATGATATATTAAATTAGAATATTTAATATGTTTATTTACTTTAACATCAAATATATGAAATTCTTCAACAAAATAATTGCTTTCAAATATTATAAAGTCTTGTTTTAAGACGATCATTCTTTGAAATTGGGAATATACGAAATATTTATTACAAACAATTCATTTAATCGCGCATATAGGAACTAACGGTATATTTCAAATAAATAACATATATTCACAGCAAACACTACGTTTTTTGTGTGAGCAATTACCCAATCAGTACTAGAGCTTCTTTCTTCCTTAATAATTATCCACAACGAAATGTACATGAAAATAAGTGGAGAACATCTTAAACCAAAATTTCACTTTTTGATCCATTATCCCAGAATTATATCGAAAATTGGCCCTCCAATTTTATTGAGTTGTATGAGATTTGAGGCAAAACATAGGGAATTAAAAAGTGTCTCTCAAAGAACGACTTGTAGAAAAAATCTGCCGTATACACTGACACTTAGGAATCAGCTAAAATTTTGCTACCGGTTAATGGCGAAAGAAGGATTAGGTGACCAAATATCTCTAGGAAAAATCAGCGATATTGATCCAGATCGTCTAGTAGAATTTCAGAAAAATTCTCTAAATTTTGAATTTTTTTTTGCTCAACATTTTACGAAATAAATGGTGTGAAATATGAAACTAACAGTATTCTTTTGGACAGTGTATATCACGATATTCCGAATTTTTGTCAAATTAAAGAAATTTTTATTGATAAAGACAATTCGAAAAATATATATTTTTATTGCTTATTGCTAAAGAGCATAGATTATAACGAACATCTTTATGCATATTCTGTTGGGTTAACTGAGATTTCATCTCTTTTTTCTGAAATTCCTACTGTGCTTCATACGGTTAAATCTGCTTTGTATATTTCAAATCTATGTACAGGGTGAGCATTTTCTAAAGTATTCGACACACATACATCAGCTTATTTTATCCAAAAAACTAAGTGCTTACTATTTGGACAAAACAAAACATGTTATTAGTTTCCTTTTAATTTTTTTAACGTTTTGATTCCTCCGGCCTCTGCATTGACGACCCTTGAACTGAATATGTCTTAATTCGTTTCTAGTTTTGCATTCAGAAACTTTTGATCTTATATTTGAAGTTATTAAATTAGGACGGAATTTGCCGTTTTAATTTAAATAAAGGTATTAGAGAAATAAAGACTTGTAATAATATGTTCCTATAAGAAATTAAAATATAATATTAACGTTTGTTCCTGTTATAATATAAGAATTAAATTAGTTTTTTAAACGTGTTACTTTCTTAGTTAATAGGTATAATAGTTCTTTTTTATATGACTTAGCCATATTTAGTAGGTGATTTTGTTTTATTATTTCACTAGAAAGTAATAAAACCAACGACGTAAAAGTGAAAAAGGACGAGACCTGTTTATAAAAAGTATTTAAAATGAGTGATCTAAGTGTATACTTATAGTCTGATACCTGTTCGTTCGCCCTGTATACCTACCTTTTAGACGATTTTCGTCACATATTTTTTTTAACACTGGGTCCTACTTTTTCTCTTCTACATTGTTGATTTAAACTAAGAATAAATCTTTTTCGTTCATACTTTGTGATATTACGTTAATAATTAAAACGTAACATAAGTTTTTTCGTTGGTTATTTTATTATTTTGTTTTATTTTTATATGCGGCAAAAGAGCTGCTGTCTGGATGTATATTTTTATTTATGTTTGTTTATACATGTAATTGTTTATGTTTGTTTATACATGTAATTCGCTATTAATAAAAACGCTTCAAGTTCAAAAGCTGTTTTTTTCCTTTTATTAATTATATTATTATATTAGGCAGAGAAAAATGTAAAAACCACTCATACAATTGTACTTAATAAATATCCTTGTTTTACTTTTTAGGATGCCTCTATATGATCTACAGGGTTGGCAAAATATGTAGGCGTTGTAAGTTGCTGCAGGATGGGTTTCAAAGAATGGGAAAACTATTAACTAGGTAAAGAAAATATAAATATTTATCTACGCCAGTGAGATAAGAACTTCTTATCTCACTCATTTTGAGTAGGATAAGAAGTTCATTAACGCACCCGTTTTTCTCTGCTTTTCAACCAATCAAATAAAAAAGTCAAAATGTCAAAATAACCCTAAATTAAGTCTTAGACAAAAATAATTACCGTTTATTTTTTCATTTAGAGGCGTAGATAAAAATTTGTACAATATACGTGTGATAACGCTTTATTAACGTACTTCTGCGATTGCCCAACTTTTAAAACTCATCGTGCATAATGACTTACAAAGCCGTCGTGTTTTGCCAACTACGTAGATCAGATTTATCGACACATTCGAACAGGTAAAATAAATCCAAGGATATAGAAAATCTTAATTCAAGAATATGCAATTTCAAAGCAATTCTTAAAATGATTCTAACATATTTTCAAATTAAAATGTTTTATTTTCAAAAGAAGCCTCTCGAATTCTCCTTATTAACAAGACACATTTTAATCTAAAAATTTTCCAATTTAAATCAAAGCAATAATATACTCAATTTAAGCTGACTGCATTCTAAATGCAATGTTTTATATATTAAAATAAAGAATAGCTATTGTCAAAATTAATCGACGTATACTCCGTCCAAGCTGCTATATTAAATGTTGCACATTTAAGATAAAGCGATATATGCTTAATCTAAAATGACGGCGCCTTTGATAAAAAACTGTATTTACTCAAAAGAAGCATTCCTGTTTTGTTAAACTAAATTGACATATGCTTAGTATAAGTCTGTATAATTAAATTTACATGTTTGAGATAAAACGATGTAAGCTTACTTTAAAATT